GGGTCTAGAACCTGCGGGCTCAGGCAATCCACTCACCTCAGCCTCCCAAAGGCGCGGGATGACAGGCTGAGTCACTGAGCCCGGCTTGCTTACATATTTTAAAAAGTTAACTGTGGCCGGGTGCGGTGGCTCACAACTGCCATCCCAGCATTTTGGGAGGCTGAGGCGAGAGTAGTGCCTGAGCCTGCGGGTTCAAGACCAGCCCGGGCAATTTGGCGAGACCTCGTCTCTACAGTAAATCAAAAAACGAGCCAGGCGTGGTGGTGCATGCCTGTATTTCCAGCTACTTGGAAGGCTGAGGCGAAGGATCGCCTGAGCTCAGCAGGTCGAGGCTGTGATGGCTGTGAGCATGCCCCTGCACTCCAGCCTGGGTGGTAGAGGGAGACCCCAACTAAAAGGTAAAACAAAACAAAACAAAAACGGGTAGCAATGCACAGCCTCAGGCAGGACTTCCAGGAGGTCTTCCAGAGAAGGCACAGTTACCACAGGCAGCGACAGCTCCATGCATGCAGTCGCCCCTGGAGACCTTCCAGTGGGACAGACATGGAGGGGAAGCCAGTGGTATTGACAACCCTGGCCCTGTGTAGGCCTAGGCTGAGGTGTCTGTTCGTGTCTTCGTTTTCTTTCTTTTTAAATTTTTGTTTATTTATTTTTAAAGATAGAGAACAGTCTCGCTGTGTTGCCCAAACTGGTCTCAAGCAAATCTTCCCACCTTGGTCTCCCAAAGTGGTGGGATTACAGGCATGAGCCACCCTGTCTGGCCTGTGTCTTTTTAGCAAAAAGTTTAAAAACGAAACATAAATCACTTTAGAAATGGGAAAACCTATAAAGAAATAAAGAAAATATTTTTGTGCAGCTGTGCAATGTATTTGTGTTTAAGCTAAATGTTATCATGGAAAAGTCAGAAAGTTTAAAAAAAATTTTAAATGTATACACTGGGTGTGGTGGCTTACACCTGTCATCCCAGCACTTTGGGAGGCAGAGGTGAGAGGATTGCCTGAGGAAAGGGGTTCGAGACTTTCCCGGGCAACTTGGCGAGACCTCGTCTCTCCAGTCAATCAAAAAATTAGCCGGGTGTGATGGTGTAGTTCCGGCTACTTGGAAGACTGAGGTGGAAGGATCACCTGAGCCCAGCAGGTCAACGCTGGGTGGCCCTGAGTGTGCCACTGCCCTCCAGCCTGGGCGACAGACTCCAGCTCAAAACACATGCACCTGTACATCTCTAAAGAGATACAGATATGTCTCTATCTGTTTAGCTACGCAAATACTTACCGAGGCGTGACGGTTACCAGCCATCCTCAAGGCTGTGGCAGGCTGGGCGGGTCTGTCCCCTCGGGGCAGCAGGTGACGTCGTGTGGCCTAGGTGTGCAGTGGGCGCTGCCGGCTAGATTTGTGTGAGCGCATCCTGGGATGTTGGCCCCACGGCCAAATGGGCTGACAATGCGCATCTTAGAACGTGGCCCCACCACTAAGCAATGCATGGTTGTGGTTGGATAGAACGAGGAAAGGAAGGAGCTCCTTTGGGGAAGGAAGAATGTTTAGAGACTCACAGGGGGGTTGGCCCTTTGGCGAAGCCAAGCCCTCTGTTGGGCGTGGATGGCCTTGTTAGTTTCCCATGTTTTAATTTCTTTTTTTTTTTTTTGAGTCGCAGTGTCACTCTCACCCAGACTGGAGTGCCGTGGCCGCTCCCGGCCACCGCAGCCTCGACCTGCTGGGCTCCGGCGATCCTTCCGCCTCAGCCTTCGGAGGAGCCGGAATTACAGGCATGCACTACCACGCCCGGCTGATTTTTTGATTTATTGTAGGGATGAGGTCTCGCTGCCCAGGCGGGTCTCAAACCCGCGGGCTCAGGCAATCCACTTACCTCAGCCTCTCAAAGTGCGGGATTACAGGCTGAGCCACCAAGCTTGGCTCCATGTTTTAATTTCTTACATGCCTATCGATTTTTTACTTTAGACACACCCAGCTCTGCCTGCAAATTCCTGTCCCTGAAGAGGTTTCCGGGTGGCTGCTGCTTTATGGGTGGGCAGGGGCCCCAGGGGTTGGGCTTTCATCTGGCTGACCTGGAAGTGACCCTGCCGAGGCCAGGGGCCGCACTTACCCGGCCTCATACCCAGGGAAACAGCCAGGAGTTTTGATTCTGTGGGTCCTGTCTCTGGGTCACAGCCGAAGAGCTTGAATGAGCATCGATGGCCCACACAGGCTTTATGGAATAATTTCCCAGTGAGTTCCACTTACTCCTAGATGACAATTTTGAGGATGTGGGACAAGGGAGGTCCAGTCCCTGGTCTCAAGAAGGGCTTCAAGAAGAAGTCGCTGGGCATGGTGGCTCACGCCTGGCATCCCAGCACTTTGGAAGGTGGAGGTGAGAGGATTGCCTGAGCTCAGGGGTTTGAGGCCAGCCTGAGTACAATGGCAAGGCCTCGTCTCTACAATAAACCAAAAAATTAGCCGGGTGTGATGGCGTGGGTCTGTAGTTCCAGCGGCTTGGAAGGCTGAGGCGGAAGGGTCGCCGGAGCCCAGCAGGTTGAGGCTGTGGTGGCTGTGCGCGTGCCCCTGCACTCCATCCTGGGCTGGAGGCAGACTCCAACTCAAAAAATACAAAGTGTGTTTCCCACAGCGCAATTCCATATTGTGTCCAGCCTCAGAAGACAATCAGCCTACAGGGGGAGGCAGCTCAAACCTAAAGCCAAGCCACTGTGCTTTGCTTTTCCACCATCTCAACCCCTCCAGCCCCACCCCCTCCTGGCTCCTTTGACCTGGTGTCTTCTCCACCACAGTCTTGGTCGGCCCAGTGGAGACACCCACCCTGGGAACATTAAAACTCACGCCGATCAGCTTGTGGCACTTCTGCTAGGCATTGCCACCCGAGGTGTGTTGGTCTTTCTCCTCGGACAGCCCCGAGCGGCAACGCCATCCCTTGCGGGCTCAAGTCGAAATGGAGAGGGACGCTGAAATTCCATCACAGTTTCCATATGGGCTTAGAAAATAACATCTGAGCCTCATTTAGAAAGTGGAGCTCTTCCCGAGCCTCGTGGCTGCGGCGGGGCCTGTGCAGATGGCGCTGTGGTGTGAGCAGGGTGGTGCTGGGCTTGGCCGGACGGCGCCTTCCCGATGACCAAACCTCTGCTGGGAAGACTCGCCTCTCGGCCTGCCAGGAAGAGCGACTCCTCCCCGCACCCCACCCCCACCGTCTGAGTGTCCTTCAGAGCAGGGACCTCCCGCTGGCCAGCAGCTGGGGCTCAGAGAAGAAGGGGCAGCGCTGCCGCAGGACCACAAGCAGGGCGGCATGGCAGGCGGGGGAGAGTCCTGGGCTCGGGAGTTGGCCAGGACTTGAGTCGTCTCTGAGCGCCTCCCGAACCGCCCACTGGTTATTCCTTTTCAGCGCTTATTTGTCCTGAGCCTACCTACCCACAAGCAGAGCGTTCTGCTTTGGAATCACACCTCTTAGAAATTTGTTCTCCATCCTTGTGAGAAGCCATATTTTAAAGATAGGCAGTTTCAGGCTGAGCTTGGCGGCTCACACTTGTAGTCCCTGCGCTTTGGGAGGCCCAGGGGGAGGGTTGCCTGAGCCCAGGCGTCGGAGACCAGCCTAGGCAACAGAGCGAGTCCTCGCTTCCACAAAAAGTGAACAAGTCAGCCGGGCCTGCTGGCACACGCCTGCCGTCCAGCTACTCAGGAGGCTGGGGCAGAAAGACAGCCTGAGCCGGGAGGCCGGGGGTGCGGCAAGCCAGGATTCTGCCACAGCACTGGGGGATGGGAGACCCTGGCCCCCCAAAAGGCAGTTTCAGCACGGTCTCAGCTCCCGGGCTTTTGTCTTCAAGCAGGAATCTGTCCTTTCGTGTTTACCGATTCTGCGCAAAGCAGAGGTTCTCTTCAGGGGCTGCTGCCGAGTGGCGCTGTTCTCACAGGCTTGAGAGGTTGTGTCTGCTTTGAATTCTTGCCGAGAGTCGGCGCGGGAGGCGGAGGCACAGAGAGGAGCACGTCGTCGTCTCCCCCCAGCAGCCTCGTTTCGGTTATCGAAATGCTGGCTTACTCTAGGGCTCGTTCTTGAGGGCGGATGTGTGGTCAGGGCTCATGCGGGGCGCTTGCTGGCAGCCTGGGCCTAGAGAAGCACTCTGTTTACAAATGCCGGGTTCAGTCTCCCTCATCTGAAAGGCCGAGCGCTTCTGAGCACCCATAGGGCGGCCCAAGAACATGCCCGGGCCAGCCTTCCAGATTCTGAATGTTTGAATCAGGGATGCTCCATTGGTAAGTATGATGCAGATGTCCCACACTCTGAAAAACGTCCCAGATCCAAACACTGCTGGCCCCAAGCATGTCCGAGGAGGGACAGACAACCAGTAGAGCAAAGTGAACGGACCCTCCCGACTTTGGCCTCACCAGGTCCTTGCCACTTGTGGCATACTGGTTGACATTGCTTATTTCTAATTCTGTGTCTGCAGCCTGAACCCCAAACCTTAAAAGGTCCTTTGAAGAATCACATAAAATTCTGTTTGTGTCTTATGGACACACGTTTAGTGTCTCCACGGGGGAGACCGTTATTTGGTGTGAAGAATAAATGTCAATGGCTCTAGAAATATGCTGTATAAAAGAATCAGGATTCTATGACATGTTTAATCGTTGCAAGTAGATTTTGAGTCCTTAGAGTAGAAATAATCTCTGTGGAATGTTCCAGCAATGCCTCCCACCTGCCGCCAGCCATAATCGAGTTTACCGTGTAGTGAGCGAAAGATCAGACACATTGGTCTGCTTTGCTAAACTTTTTATCTGCCATTTGAGACTAAATGAGGCCAGGCTCGGTGGCGCAGCCTGTAATCCCAGCGCTTTGGGAGACCGAGGTGAGTGGTTTGCCTGAGCCGGCGGGTTCAAGACGCGCCCAGGCAACTTGGCAGGACCTCATCTCTACAAAAAATCAAAAACTAGCCGGGCGTGGTAGTGCACACCTGTAGTTCCAGCTCCTTGGAAGGCTGAGTTGGAAGGATCGCCGGCGCCTGGCTGGTAGAGGCTGTGGTGGCCGGGAACATGCCACTCCTGTCTAGTCTGGACGACAGAGTGAGGCTCCAACTCAAAAAACAAAACAAAAGCAAAGCAAAAAAAAGACTAAATGAAGTCTTTGCTGCCAACTACAAACTCACCGCGTGCTGTGTCTTCTTGGTCCTCACTGATAGACATAAACAGTTGAATTACTTGTTCGTTTGTTTGCTTAAAACAATAAGCTGATACTACCCTTGGGCTGAACCAGTGTTTCCGAACAGGTTACGTGGCTCACGAGTTTATTCTGGACACAAGACCCTTCAAAAAGTCGGCAAACATCGAGGCTGTGGACGTGGCCAAGCGGCTCCAGGACTATGGTAAGAGACTGCTGACGTTCTTGCCACGGCCCACGCCGGCGGTGGCCCACTTCCTTAGCGCACACACAGGAAGTGCAGGCCCCACGGGAAACCCATCTGCGGTCAGCGGGAGCCCGGGGCTCTCGGCCACCTTCGAGATCACAGGGAGAAAACTTTCCTTTCTGACCGCACTGGTCCCGCCCTTTGAAAGACACTAAAATGTGCATCTTGAATCCATCAGCAGCCAAGAACAGACGTCTTTGTGGTTGACACTTAAAATCCCAGAGAAACGATTCTGCTCTTGTCTGCATTTCTGGGAAATTCTTCCTCCCAGGCCAGGCGTGGGGGCTCACCCCTTCACCTCAAGGTGAAGAAGTAGGCCTGTGCTGTTCTTACAAAGAAAAGGCAACTTCCATGAAAGCGTTTGGAAAGACATGGGCCTGGCCAGGTTCGGTGGCTCAGCCTGTCATTCCTGCCCTTTCGGAGGCCGAGACGAGTGGAAGGGCTGAGCCCGCGAGTTTGAGACCGGCCTGGGCAACTTGGCGAGACCTCGTCCCCACAATTCATCAAAAATCAGCCGGGTGTGGTAGTGCGCGCCTGTAGTTCCGGCTACTTGGAAGGCTGAGGCGGAGGGATCGCCGGAGCCCAGCGGGTAGACACTGGGGTGGCACCGTGATTGCACTGCAGCCTGGGTGACAGAGTGAGAGACTCCAACTCAAAAAAAAAAAAAAGGAAGATGTGGGCCCTTCACGTGTGTCTTAGCATAGCCTTTATGAGATACGTTTTCTCAGTGAAATTATTACTATCAAGGGTGCTTCACCGCTCAGGAAGGCTAGGTCAGGGAGAGCTTTGCCTTTTGGTGGATGTGAAGTCCTAGCTGGACAGAAAGGACTTATTTTAAGAAGGAAAGAGAGGCTGGGCGCGGTGGTTCAAACCTGTCATCCCAGCACCTTGGGAAGCCAAGATGAGAGGATTGCTGAGCTCAGGGATTTGCAGGCAACTTAGCGAGACCTCATCTCTCCAATAAATCAAAGAATCAGCCTGGCATGCTGACACATGCCTGTGGTTCCGGCTCCTTAGAAGGCAGAGGCAGAAGGACTGCCGGAGCCCAGCAGGTCGAGGCTGCAGTGGCTATGGTTGACAGAATGAGACTCCGACTTTAAAAAAAAAAAAGGAAGGAAAGAGAACATTTTTTATATTTAACACTTCTGCATCATGATGGACATGGCACAAGTCTCTCTCTCTCTCTCTCTCTCTCATGAATGCTCTTATTATGCAGAATTAAATGGTAATAAACAGGAAAGGCAGAGAATGGTTTAATCAATGAAATTAGCAGCCGCCTCCTCAGAATCTCCTTTTGGCCACTCTTTAATTTAATTTTTCTTCAGTTGGAGTCCTCACTCTGTCACTCAGGCTGGAGGGCAGTGGCATGCTCACAGCCACCACAGCCTCGACCTGCTGGGCTCAGGTGACCCTTCTGCCTCAGCCTTCCAAGTAGCTGGAACTACAGGCACGTGCCACCATGCCTGGCTAATTTTTTGATTTATGGTAGAGACGAGGTCTCGCCAAGTTGCCCAGGCTGGTCTCAAACCCGTGGGCTCAGGCAATCCTCTCTCCTCGACCTCCCAAAGTGCTGGGATTATAGGCATGAGCCACTGTGCCCGGCCCACTTTTTTTTTTTTTTTAAAATACAGAGATGAGGTCTTGCTATGTTGTCCGGACTGGTCTCAAACTCCTGGCTCAAGCAGTTCACCCGCCTGAGCCTTCCAAAATGCTGGAATTACAGGTGCCGGCCCTTCCGGCCACTCTTCTAACCTCACAGGAGAGCGCATTTCTCCTGACTCAACCTCCTGGCTAGTAACTGAGTAAGGGCCGACTCACATATGACTCATGTTTTGGAGGCTCTGTCTACATCACACATCTAACCGCAACACATCTGCAGGGAGGCGGGGGGGGCTCAAAGAGAAGTGGCCCCTGGAGCCACCGCCAATGACTCCAAGTCCTGTCTATCTCCTGACCTTGATGTTATTTTGACGTTTGACAGAACGTTTCCCATACTTGTCTAGAGCCTGGAGTTGTCTGGGCGCTTGGCGCATGGGAGGCAGTCACACACGTCGGAAGACGAGAGACTGGGCCGGGCCTGATGGCTCACGCCTGCAAACCCTGCACTTTGGGAAGCCGAGCCGGGAGAACTGCTTGAGTTCAGGAGTTCAAGACTAGCCTAGGCAGCATGGTGAAATCTTGTCTCCACGGGAGAGTGAGAAAGTTAGCTGGGCACGCTGGCGTGTGCCGGTAGTTCCAGCTACTCAGGAAGTGAGGCAGGAGGATCGCCTGCGCCCCGGAGCTTGCGGCTTCAGTGAGCCGTGATGGTGCCGCTGCCCTCCAGCCTGGGCCACTCAGTGAGATCCTGACTCTGAATGAATAGATAAGTGACGGGATGAATAGCTCAGTAAAAACACGTGTAAAATGGCAACACAAGTTCTGCATCTTGACCACACCGAATCTGGGTTTCAGGGAAGAGGCCTAGAAATCCGTGTACGGGACAAGCACCCCCCCCCCCCCATGAGTCTTCTCAGACCGGTTTGGGGCATTCTGCCCAAGGACGGAGGTTTCCTGGCTCATCATCAGAATCACCTGGGAAGTTTTATGATTCATAGATTTCTGGACCCTTCTCGGAGTCAGGGTCCAGGCGCAGGAATCCGTGTTTCTGCAACTTCCCAGATGGCCCCAGAGAAAGGAGCCACGGCGGCAGGGTATGTTGGACTATGTGGGCTTACACACGGAATTGAGTGCCGGCTTCATAGGTCATCAGTTCTTCTTAAAAAGCAAAAACAAAACAACAAAAACCCCACAAAACTCCCAGTATGGTTTGGGTGACACAGGCCTGTGCATCTGTCAAAACCCAGTTAGAATTTGTGCATGTCACTGTTTTACCACAAAACGTGAACAGATGGTAGATTCTAGCTAGTGACATGCATGCTGAAGTGTTCAAGCCTGAAGTGTGCTGGCGACTGCAGTGTATTTTGAAATGCATCAAAAAACCAGATGGGGCAGAGTGTGGTAATCCCAGCCTATGATCCCAGTAATTTGGGAGGCTGAGGCGGGAGGACTGCTTGAGCCCAGGAGTTCAACACCATCCTGGGCAACGTAGCAAGACCTCTTCTCTACAAAAAGTTTGCTGCGCGTGGTGGTGCATGCTTGTAGTCCCAGCTACTTGGGAGGCTGAGGCGGGAGGATTGCTTGAGTCCAGGAGGGCGAGGCTGTGGTGAGCCACAGTCAGGCCACTGCACTCTAGCCTGGGTGACAGAGTAAAGCTCTGGCTCCAAAACACAAGAAAGAAAGAAAGAAAAGGAGGATGGACGCAGGTGGAATAGACATGTGATGAAGCAAACAGCATCTCTGTAGAAGTCTGGGTGGTGTCCGTGCCGGTGGCGCCCACAGTCCTTTCGCCCTCCTGACACGGCGAAAGTTTTTCTGAAGAACGCCAGGGAGAGACTCCCTCGAAGCCAGCAGGCATGACTCAGGAGCACCCCCGCCATGACGACGGACACCCGAACGGGGGACTCGCTCACTCCAGGGCGGTGTCAGCGGATGGGGGAGCGACCTGGGAGCTACTCTTCGTCTTCCTAAAGTCTCCTTAGAAAAGTGTAACAAGTGACACACGTTGTTTGTGGCTTTTGCCCTGGAAATCTCTCTCTTGACCGTGTGGCATCTTGTCACCGTGTCCTACATGTGGAAACGTTGAGAAACATGGAAGTACTTTGAGCCTGTGTTCAGTGTAAAGGCAAAGGCTTTCCACATACAGGCAGAGCCTCAGTTTCGCCGTCTGCAAAATGGGAACAGGAAGATTTGCTCCAGGATCCCTGATGCTTGTGCCCTCGTTATCTCACTTTTGGTAGCCTGTACTATTTTTATTTATCTTGATTGTAAGTAACACAAGGTCGTCATAGAGAGATTCTATGATGACGACAATAAAAATCTCAGCCTCACTTTCTGGCCATAATTACTGTTAACACTTTATGTCTTCTTCAAGGCATCTTTCCTCATAAAATATACACCTGTAATACTTGACCTTCCTTTTTTTTTTTTTTTTTTACAAAAATGGGATATCACTGTGTAGCTTACTCTTTTCACTTAATGTTTCTGAATGCTTGCCCAGTTTAACACATTTGAATACGTTTTAAATGGTAGTTTATTTGCTGTATGAGTACACTGTAAAATTGCTTAACTGACCCCCAATTGTTGGATATTAGTTTGTCTCTTGTTTTTCTTTTTTCTTTTTCTTTTTTGAGTCGGAGTCTCACTCTGTCACTCAAGCTGGAGTGCAGAGGTATGCTCACAGCCCTCGCAGACTGCTGGGCGCTCAGGTGATCCTTCCGCCTCAGCCTTCCAAGCAGCTGGAACTACAGGCGCGCACCACCACACCCAGCTAATTTTTTGATTTATTGTAGAAATGAGGTCTCACCAAGTTGCCCAGGCGGGTCTCAAACCCCTAGGCTCAGGCAGTCCTCTTGCCTCCGCCTCCCAAGGTGCTGGGATGACAGGTGTGAGCCATCATACCCAACATGTTTTTCTTCTATAAACAGTGCTGAGACAGGTCCCCAAATACCTATAGTTGCAAATGTATCTGATGAATTCCTTCAGGTCAATTAGCAGAGGTGATGGGAACTTTTCTTCCAAACTGGGGAGGCCAAAGTCTGTGAGGCAGATTCTCTTGTCTCCGTTTGCAGGATTTCACGCCCCTACTATGTCCTGGCCTGTGGCAGGGACCCTCATGGTTGAGCCCACTGAGTCAGAAGACAAGGCAGAGCTGGACAGATTCTGTGATGCCATGATCAGCATTCGGCAGGAAATCGCGGACATCGAGGAGGGCCGCATCGACCCCAGGGTCAACCCGCTGAAGGTGCGTGGGGGACCTGGGTTTGAATGCCCCTCAGAGTAGCAGGGGGTCTCCGGACAGTGTGCCGGCAGCCTCGGAACTCTCGTCGGAAGGTCATCCTTTCGCCTAGAGGAAGGGAATTCTTCGGAGAAGACGCAGTTGTGACTTCGAAGCTTACTGGCTTGGAGCGTCACAACAGCAGGGGCTCAAGCCCGGCGCGCGGTGGCAGCGCAGGCCCCACGTGCCGGGCGATGGCCCGAGGAGGGTGCGGGGGCCGAGGGCCTGTCGCGTCCAGGGATTCCCAGGGCTCGCGCCTCTGCTGGATGCCCTGCGGTGGGGCTGCAGGCGACACGTGTGTGTTGACACCGCCAGCCGCACAAGCCACGGCCCGCGTGGGAGCGCTGCCGGTGAGAACAGCTGGCTTGAGATTCGGTGTGGACGGCCGGGCGGGCCGCGCCTCCCGAAACCTGCTAGCTTTGCGTCTGGCGAGCCTGCCGGGTTTTCCGGTGA